TCATTGAACCTAATCAAAACATGTAGAACCATAACATTTTCCGGTTGGCACACAAGATACTAGAGCATAGGAAGTCATAGGCTTGGTATTATGGATAGAAGCATGATAGATGCGGCGGAGACTTGAGCTATTTGGATAACAGTACACGTGTTTGGTCATAGACGAGGTCCATGAAGCATAGGTTTGACTGATAATTACTCGGGGTTTTTAGCTTCAACTTAGTCTCCCAGAGGCAGAATGTGCGAAATAACGCCTCAATATGCATAGATAGGGTGGCAGGGGTTTAGTGAAATACTTTATCCAGGGAGATAGCAGACGGATTTTACTGGGCAAGAGGGAGACTGATAAGACCTATGGGAGGAGTACTGCGAAAGAATATGGCAGATTGATCAACATTTTCAGCACAAGAGTGAGGTGTTGAGAAATCCAGCCTGGAGTGTGGAGAGTTCTTATAGATTTTGCTTATAAGAGCACCATACCACGTTTAAATAAACATTGTGATAGTTAAAGCGTAATACGAAAATATACAATTGGGGATTAGCCCAGTGCGGAAGGAGGGATATCACGATTGTTTAGCAGACAATTGGTCAAAGTATCGACTTCTCTTATCTCTTTTTTAGTTATAGTGTTGTACTAAGGATGGCAATGTTCACTGACGATGCCGGTTAAACGTCCGGGAATGTACCATGTCTACGGTCCGACTGGAAATTATCATGCATATAGTGGACTCCGGACTAGGTGTGCTTCTCTAGGTCTTCCTACCAATTTTACCAAGTTGCGAAAACAAGGTCAAACAATTTATATACTCTGTTATTATTTGCCTTTCGTACCGAGACTTTCAGACCTGCATATACGAATACGCGCATATACATCCAAGAATCTAGCCATTCTAATTTATATGAATAATAACGAATCAAGTCAGTCTATCCATGAATTATTGTTTTTAGATGTGAGCATATTTGCGCATATGTAAAAACCAATTCGTATTCTTGGCTTCTAATTTGTCACCATTGAAAAAATGTAATCCTTCTATGACGTATCTGTCAGATGTCAGTATGGACGAAAACTCAGTCCCTTTTCAATCAAAGCTAGAGGGGATGTCGTTTGGGCCGTGCCAATATGAATGTCGTATTAAAATCAAACGAATGTTTTTCAGAAATTAACCGTCTTCTAGTGAGATCGACCTACTAAGCCCCTTGTCAGGTACTTTCACACAAAGTGAAAACCATCCCTACTATATTTTTAGAATGGCGTTTAAGTTCTCAAATCAAACTTATACTTACCTGCTATAATCATTAATTTGTTCCTTGCTCTTAGGAACTCAAACTAACTATAAGATGCAACATATAGAAATGGCTTGCCAATCAATCTACATAAAATAAGTTCAAGAGGATTTTGTATTTTGAATTGTAATTCATTTTGCTATGAATTTTAGAATTCCGCTTGCCTCATTTTTGGCCTAGCCCTTGAGATATTCGGACTTTAAACGACAAACATGACTTTGAAGACATAGTCACTCTACTGCTTCCATCTGCAAAGTAAGAACCGACTGAGGGTTACGTTTTTGCTTTCCACCTTCTTAGGACCTTTAATATAGTTTGAAACACCCCGCCTGGCTAAGCTTTCTAGAAGATATATCTGGCATTTATCTGCAACTTTTTAGCCTATTTTATTAAAGAAGGGAAACCATGAAGTAGGTTACAACACCTAAGGTGTCTAATAATTCAAATGTTTTACTTAAAATTTTGGATCGTTCTTATAACTCATGAAAGTGTTCCTCCAATCAACTAGTCATGAACTGTCCACCTTCTTTACTCAAGGTAGTTGTGGTCTTTAATAATGTCTTTATTATATCCTTAATTCCATATTCCTTAGAAAAATTCTTGTCTATTTTAAGTCAATTCATGCAGTTTTAACATCTTGTTAGTGACTAGTAAATATTTATTCAAATTGAATAGGAAACATTGGACTAAGGCTCATCCTCAAAAAATCATAACTTTGCAAAGAATACTGGGCATGTCATAATATATCACAGGAGCTCCCCTATTTATGCTAAAATCAATCCCTACTTCCCTAATTTTCTATACATCCATAAAGTCGTCTCTGGGTCTTCTTTAAAGAATACTTCTAACTTTCATGGAAGGCAAATCCTGCATATTTGTACATAATCGAAATAATCAAGGGATTAACCTGACTGTCCTACGTATTCTCTAATATCAACTACAATAAATATATATATTTTTAAGTCGAAACCAATTGAAGAGGTCTGCTATGGGGCGCTTGATTTTTTCCCCCTTAACCAATGGCCTTTCAGGCGTGTTCTTTATTTTTGTGTAAATTAAAAGTTAGCCGTTCTAGAAACAAACACGCATTGATATAAAAAAAAATTATTTGCAAATTGTAATCAAAAATTTAAATTTCATATCGTTTCGTGATCGATATCCTGGTTGCTCTTACAGACTTTCCTCCCAACTAGTAGTTTATATTCCATATACGGATATCCCGGTTTATTTATTTTATTTTTCAATAACCTAGCCAGAGTTTCACAAACATTATTTTGTCGTAGCAATTAAAACTAATATGGTGTATGCGTTTGATCGCTGTCTCTTTTAGCTGCATAGTTTTGGTTTGACCTTATTTTCGCAACTTGGTCTGAGCGACCGGTTGACCTTGTAGGACGTACGTAGTTCGCGTCCTGGGTCACAAGGTATCCCTCTTGCTCTGACCGAATTGTGTAACGAAGCCAAACCAACATTAACATTTTATTGTAAAAAGAATCGTGTATCTGAATAGTTTATGGGTTTTTTTAAACATTATTATTCAATAGAGGTTGTTTAATTTTGCTTTCGCAACTTGGCCTTATTGGTAGGAAGACTTAGAGGAACGCACCTAGTCCGGAGTCTATTGTATGCATGATCATTTCCAGAGTCGGACCGTGGACAACAGTTTAGCACACGTTTGTCAAAGGATCGACTTCATTTGTCTCTGACGAGTTGTTTTGTGTGGTGCTAAGAGTGGCGAGATTTACTGACAATGTCGGCGAAACGTCAGGGAATGTACCACATCTTCGGTCAGCTTTTGAAAATTATTATGCATACAATGGACTGCAGACTAGGTGCGTTACTTTAAGAGCTTCTTCCAATATGACCAAGTTGCGAAAACAAGTTCAAACATTCTCTATACAACTGCGACCTCGCAAAGGGCCACACGATCTTGGTCTTCATACCTTCGATTATTCTTTAATCTCAAAGTGATAACCGTCAAAATTAAGGACGCATATTTTGGTTTTGCTCAGCATATATAAGTATATTATTATCATATGAAACTCGGAACATTCTATGACTTTTGATATATTCTAATGGGACCCTTGTTCAATTTACTTCCATCATAGTTCGTTAACAATCTTTCCTTTATTTTTAATACAACCTGGCTTGTGCTTACATTATTTTGAGGTTAATAAGTATAATACGAATAAGGCGTCATAAATATTCAGGCGTTAGATATAAATGTTGGGCATATAAATACTATACCAAACCACCGCACGAGGGATGCATTATCGTATATTTTATAAGTGCTTATTTAGTGCCTATAATGGTGCTTATTTAAAATTTTCATAGTTACTGGAAAGTTGTCCGTGAGAAGCTATTCGTACATAACTATACATTATTATAACTCTACTATATCCGAATATGAATATTGACCTGATTCAAATTCGGAGCCTCTAAACAAAAAAAGCCTTACAACAGCCCATTAAGTGGCTGGTTTGACCTCGTTTTTGCAACTTGGTCGGAGCGGCAGAAAGATCTTGTAAAACGTGTCAGTCCTACATCTTCTGCAATAGTATTCATGATTATTTCCAATATCGGACCACTGACCTAATACATTTCCAGACGTTTCATTGGCATCTTAGACGGCATTGTCTGAGAATATATCAAGTTAACGATCTGATGCTGAAAAGTATCATGAATACTAAGGCAAAGGACGCAAGACTGGGTAAGTTTCACTAGGTCTCCTTGTCGCTCCAACGAAGTTATGAAAAAGAGGTCAAAGCAACACTATACGACCCAAGGATACTGCTATCAAACAAAAGACTACGCTATCTTGGTCTTAAAACCTAGGGCAATTAAATATCCTAATAGGGCCTCTGACACTATAACTTTTTAAACGCTATGTTATTTTCTTTCAATTATTCATCTATTCAGCTTCAGTTGAGATAGAATTGATTCATATTGGACAACATATTCCAGATTTGTGGTTCTATCCTATTCAACAGATCTAACATTATAAAAAGTCCACGTTTACAGTTTGCTGTGATTAGCCACTTAACAAAAGAACATCCAATATAGGCTTGAACGACTTATGATCTGATTATATATACTTTCATATTGTGAGAGCAAAGCTAGGAGTTCGCTAGTTTCTTATATAGCCACGAAGCTGACGTATCTGCAAATATTGACTTAGTGACATCTTTGTATTAAAGTTGTATCGAGCATTTTTGTGTCAGCTCCTTAATTTTCTCTATGCTGTGTCGCATAGCTAGAAAATGGAAGAAAATATTACGTTAGATAAATCCCCTCTATTAGTCGTAGGAACGTCCATCACAATCAGCATCTTTTGGATAGTCTATTTGAAAAAATTATTGTGATGCGGTCATATTTTATAAAAGGAAATAACATTTGTATGCCATAACAATTCTTTAAAATCTAATGATTTATGTTGCTATGATAAATAAAAGCGCTTGCTCTTATCTTTTGCATTATTGATTTAAGTCCGTCAGGGATAATCCTGAGGTCAACAATGCTATTTTCTATAAAAAGCTGTATAGTCCAATTCATTTTAAATTAACTAAATTCTTGAAAGTAGTTTACTATTTTTAAAATTGCACTTACACCCAGGTGTTAAAGCAGATTATCGTTGGGTCATCTACACCTTTCCGCCTAATTTGGTTTATCCTATCATGTTCCCATTACTTCCTCTGTTGATTATTATGACTTTATTAATTATACTTTCTTATATACTGAAAAAACACTGCTTTCATGTCGAATGCAAGTCTTTGAGACGAATTGATAATAAAATCGTTGTTGTTACCGGTGCCAACACAGGAATAGGCTTAGAAACGGTTAAGGAATTAGCAATGAGGGGCGCAACAGTCATAATGGCCTGTAGGAATGAGACCAAAGCATTGGCCGCCTGTGATTCAATACTGAATGAGCTGGGTGAAAGCTCATTTGTTCCAAGCTTACCTCACTTAACGCCGATCAAACGCAATCAGGTCTGCCTTCTTATTTCTAATCATTCGAAGCTAGTTCCCATGGTGCTTGATTTGGCTTCCTTTGATTCAATTCGTAGTTTTTGTGAAAATTTTATAAGTCAATATCCTAAGTTGGATATATTAATTAACAATGCTGGTATTGACATTCCATTGGGCGGCTTGATGGAGAACAAAATTGAAATAAATTTAGGCGTAAATCACCTGGGACATTTCTTGCTTACTAATCTCTTGCTTTCTTCTTTAAAAGCTGCAGATTCTCCTAGAGTCATCGTTGTGTCTTCACGCATGCATTATTATACAAAGATTAGTGTCGATGATCTGACTACTAAGAAAATTATCGGCTCGTATTCCCGTAGTAAACTGGCAAATGTTATGTTTGCAAGAGAATTCGCTGAACGCTTTACCAAAAATCTTGGTATTATTGCTGTTAGTCTTCATCCAGGCTTGGTTAGGACTGAGATATTTCGGCATCAGTGGGTGAGTTGCCTCCGTTGTATTTTGACATTTAATGGTTATTTTAAGTTTTTTTGGTAACGTAAACAGTTGATTATTAAATTATGGGGTATGCTTCTATATAAGTAATTTGTTTATGGTTATTTTTATCGATAGTTTTATCTATTATAATTGCACTTGTTCGTTTCAAGAGTTGCATAGGTCGAAACAGTCAGTGTTTATGCTAAAAATGCTATATTTTAGAGTTAATTGCATTTTCATCTTTATAACACACTTGTTCGTCTCACCTACTTGATTTTGCTTTTATCTAATATTGCCAATTATTGCTTTTTCATTTTTTAGTTTTCATTGGATTTCCTACCTGATTTCTTGATTAAAACTCCAAATCAGGGTTGTCAGACCACACTTTATTGTGCTCTTGAAGATGTTTTTTCTGGTGGTTACTATTCTGATTGCTCATTGCAAGCTCCGAACAAGCAAGTGGAAGACAGTCTTTTAAGAAGTAAATTGTGGAAGGCCTCAGCTACTCTTTGTAATTTAAAGGATGATTAGAAATATACAATGCATTCACTTCAGGCACTATATGGCACCTCAATTTTCAAATACTTATTCTTTTAAAAATTCTAATGTACAAAATATTTACGTATATGTGTGGTCCATTATTCATTCATTTCTAGGGTCCTGGGTTTCATTGCAAATCTGTTCCTGGATGTTGAGTTCATTCGTTCCAACGGGATACTCTCATGGAGATTATTCGGAAATAAATCTCATGCGGGAATAATTCTAAATTTATAATCCCGTCACATCTACAGACTGAATTTCTGAATATTGAACAATTTGGTCATCAGAAGCTTATGACTAATTTACACTGAATTTTTAGATGAGTTGTTGGACAAACAAAGTCGTACTTTCCTTAGTAATGGGTATTCCAGAGAATGTATCGAAATAAATATAGGGGTCAGAAAGAGCAGATTTGAACTTGGATTTAATGAAAATAAGATCAGGAATACGGATGACGATTAATAGTGGGGATGCCTGCCCTCATGTGAACTGAGCAAAAATTGAGGTAGGAAAATGGAATAGCAAGCTGATAAATTAAAAGACAACATTTTACTATTTTTCGTATGTAAGTAGAATTTTGAGACTACCAGTAACTCAGTAATATTCACCCTATTTCGTTTAAGGTGATGAAGGACTGGTAGTAGAATTTACCCACAATGTCACAGGTCAGGTGTTAATTTCGAGGAAGACCAGGTATTCCTTATCACATTATTTTGTAGGATTGCCGATTAAGCAAAGTTATATTTGCTATAACGATCGACTACAATACTTATTTTTCGTTTACAAGCGTTTTCTGACACTAGCAGTAAATCAGTTATCCGAGGTGTGTTAATCCTTATCACCTTAGACGAAATAGATTGAATATATCTTATCTGATTTACTAGTAGTCTCGAAACCCTACTTATAAACGAAAAATATTAGTAGACCAGTATGATCATAGGAGTCGTCCATGAAGTAAAATCTCGATCTCGAGATTTACTCGGTGCACATGCCGCACAATGATAATGGAATCTGGGGCGTCAAGTTAGCTTTGTATACTGTTTCAGAATCCAAACTTTCGGGGTTTGCTCAGTGAAGCTGGAATATGCATGCTATCAATGGTTCGGGGTAGGGTGTAGAACATAACTCCTCTAGTAGTACGGATATGGTATCAACGATCGAATAAAACTACTGAACCAGGCAGATAAGAGACTGATTCTACTGGGCAAGATGTAGACTAATAAGACCTGAAGGAAGAGGATTGTGGACTTGACTGCGGTATTGGATCAACAATCCCGACACAGAGTGTATGTGGGATCAAGTATGTAATGTGAATAGGTCTCACCAAATAGAACAACTTAACTGGGCTTAGATAAGCAAGTAGGAACTTGTGATAATGCGGACATGCTACGAGTGTATAGGATAAGTGAAGACACCAGGATAGGAGAGATACCACAAAATTTTATTTTTCACATTTAAGTATTGTTTCGAGACTACCAGTAAATCAGTAATATGAGATGTATTCACCCAATTTCGTTTAAGGTGATGAGGGACTAGTAGAAGAATTTTTCCACAATTAAATGAGTAGAGCTGACGTTTCCATTGAATTTTACATAGCCTTGTTTTCCCAAAAGTTGTTATCATCCAGGGTGGACTGCAGTTTCGACCTCGCATCGGTCTTATCAAAACCCCCAGCGGGAGTCTAATCGTGACAATGCAGAATGGGAGCTTGAAACGTTAACCACTGGGCCACTAGCATCATGCCAAAAATAGAACGGATAATTGACGAGATACAATTTTACCCAAAAACTTCCTTAAAGAAAGGACAGATTAAGTAGGGTATTCTGGATAAGTCTGATCCTGGGGCCTACATAAATTCGATTTCAAGGCAGGAAAGGGGCAAGGTGGCAACTGAGCAATCTTGATTCTTATTAAGAGATCTAGTAGGATAGTAGGTGTAAGGATCAAAACTTAGTAGACTTCCTCGGGTACGATATCACAGCCACCCCCA